CGTGGTCGACTACGTGGGAGTCCAGCGACATAGCCATTACGCTAACTGCTGGTTCCCACCATGACCTTTTTACGGTGCAAGTTTGACTTTGGGAAGTCCTTTGGAGCTTCTTCTTGGTCCAACCACTGAGGTGGTCATCTCTAGTTGCAATATAAAATCCACTTTTAGTCACACATCACAATCCAATTGTTCATTGTTACATAGAATAAGAGAAGATGGCATTTCAAAATGACGATTTTTAAAAATTTTTGGTCAGTTCATGAGGCATCCACTTATTGAGTTTTTCACCTCTCTGATTTGCTTTAAATGCTAAATGACTGTGGGAGGGTCAACATTGGCAACTACTTGTGGAGTTGTAAAAGGATCAGCTTCAATGATTACTCTCAGTTGGTTGTTGTCAACTTCTGATGACTGGCCACTAAATTCCTCATCTTCAAGGTGCTCATGTGCTTTATAAAATTTCTTGAACCACCACCGCATGATCATTATCAATTCCTGGGCCAATGCATTATTGATGTTGCCAGTTATCTCTGCTGCTTTACAACCTGTTTTTTAAAAAATAATTTTTAAAATTTTATTTTGTTTTTGCTATTATTATTTACTTCACCAGAGAGAGATAGAGCAAGAGGGAATGTGAGAAAGCAAGCCACCAAGTCCAGAATTCGAACCACAGTCAGCCATGTTGGAGTCCAGCACCCCAATCACCATGCCACCTGCTGACCCCTTTATGACTCTTTTTATTTTTTTAGAGAGATTTTTGCTATAGTGTATGTGTGCTTGCCAGAGAGACATAGAGACAGAGAGAAAGAAAGTGAGAAATCAGTCCCCCCCAAAGAGGGGATGGCCACGCTGCAATTCCGTCTCCTTCATTCTCCTCTCAGGATCTTGGGCGTGCACACACATGTACCTGGCATGAGTTTTAAGCCACCATGTCCAGGACTCGACCACAGTCAAGTACGTGAGAATCCAGTGATGTAACCATTAGGCTATCCGCTAGTCCCTACAGCTCAATTTTTACTAAAATAAGAAAATCACTTGGATTTGCTTTGTGTCTAATGTAATTTTGTAATCTAAAATATGTATAAGATAGGGCATGGTGGTGCCCGCCCTATGGTAAAATATGTATAAGATAAACAGCAAGTAGTGAGTCATTAGCAAAAAAGTGAAGTGTAAAATGTTCATTAAAATGATGCATAACACAACCACATTTATTTAAGAATGTGTCTGATATCGAATGG